CTCGGAAACATAATTGAATTGAATATCATGTGTACTCAGAGGAACATCACTGAGAATAGTTGGAAGACATCAAGGCATGTTTTTAAACCCCAGTAGAAAGGATTGGGATATGTTCAATGTGTAGAATGAGAACCCAGGTGCTGTCAAGGGCAATACTAACCAAAGAAGTCCTATTCTGGTGTTTTGATTAGAACTTGAGCCAAAGTCAGAGGTTATTAAGCTGATGAAGTTGAGCCAACTCTAAGACTGCCTCTGGTCATTACAGACCAGAGAAGAAAGTACTGACCACCTGGAAGGGAGTACGGACCCTTAATTATATTCAACCCAGACTAAGCAATCATGTGTTTTTGGTACGATTTCAATAGGTGAATTAACTATTCATTGTTCATTGAGATATTGAACTATATGTTGACAAGAAGCAAAAGTCTAGCTTGGAGAGCCAAGTTTATTGGGTTACCTAAAGAGGTGTAGGTAACTCAAACATAGCTACCACCTACTAAAAAGTCTAACACAAGATGAGTGGGGACTCAGGAAATTTTGATCACTGAAGATGCTCCCTATGCAGCTTGTAGACCAGGGCTTCTCAACCTTTAACGCAGCCCCTCATCTTGTGATGAGCCCAACCTCAACATTATTTTCACTGTTACATCACAACTGCAATTTTGCTACCACTATGAATCATAATGTAAATCTCTTGTGTTTTTTAGTCAACCTCTGTGAAATGGTTACTTGAACTCCAATGAGGTTGCGACTCACACGTTGAGAACCACTATTATAGAGTTTCAGCGGGGCCTTTTAAGATTTGTGAGCTCAGGGCTTCATAAGTTCTGTGAGCTTCCAGTGTCTTGAGTTTCCCTGCTATCACTAACAGGTACTTGCAGGTATGAAGGAAACACCTATACAATAGTAACTATGTTTCTTTTTGCCTTTTATTGAAAATAGATTTTTTTCTTCACATAATATATCCTTATTATGATTTTTTTCTCCCTCTGTTCCTACAAGTTAATCCCCAATAGCTACCGTTCAGTAAGTCTTTGGAGAGCTAGATTTTTCACAGTTTACTGACTGGCATGCCATCATTTTATGAAATCATAGTTTTTTTTATTTTTTCCATTAAAATATTATACTTCCTCCCCTCCTCCTGTCCTCCTCCCGTCCTCCTCCCGCTCCCCCGCTCTCCCTCCCTCCTTAAGAGAGGACAGGGACCCCTGCCCTGTGGGAAGTCCAAGGACCTCTCCCCTACATCCAGGACTAGGAAGCTTTGCATCCAAATAGACTAGGGTCCCAAAAAGACAGTACATGCAGTAGAAACAACTCCCAGTGCCTTCATCAATGGCTTCTCAGTGGAATCATAGCTTTATACTCAAAGGATTCTCCCTTAAAATTTTACATACTGTGTAAACACATACATGTGCAAACATACAATGGTGTGTCCTGTAAATTTTACATATTCTAAACTTTAATTTGTGGATTGATTGCCTTCAGTTTCTTTGCAAAGAAATAAGCTAAATTTTAGTACAAATAAAGATTTCATAACCTTTTAAAAGAACTCTTAAAGAACTGTATTCACTTGAAGCCTTTATTAACAAACAAAAGTTATTTAAAATAATGTTGTGATGATGAATATCTGTAACTTCTAGACCTTTTGTTTTTCATTAGTAAGGCTCACTAGCAACTAGATCTTATTATTGTTCTGATCTCAACCATTCAAGCATATCATTTTCTACTAACCACAGTCTTATTACAATTTAGAGCAATGATCTTTTAAAAATGTCTTTCTTTCCATAATCAGTACTCTTTGTTCCTTTTTTCCATTTTCCCTATTACTGAATATACACAATTTCAGTAACATGAGAAAAAAGTACCTTAAATTTCTTTCTCCACTTTCATTTGGTCGTATTTATGAGTAATGTCTGCAGCCATCAATGAATCTGCATTTTCAACTATGTAGCTAGGACTGTCTGAGCTGCTGAGAAAGTCTCTGTAGGGAAAATGTAATACATTCATTAGTGGAGTCTGCCCTGCCTCCTAGGATAATATTTTTCTCTCCCTGATAGTCTTTCCTCTTTCTTCAATTCTTGTTGGTGAGTCCATTCTGTTCCAGTCCTGCAATATGCATCTTCTGCTGATCAGTGAGTCAATAAAAGAAACAGTGACACAGAGAGAAAATAGCACCAGGAAACTAGGATACTCTACAAATCCAAAACAATTCTACCATTATACGAGGCCATTTTTGATTAATTCCTTCAATTCTTATCTCATCTTTAACTATATGGAAACATCTAACTCTTACAAATATAAAAGATAGAATATAAAAGATCCTTAAAAATGCACCAACAGTGAGTTTGAGTACATGAATGAATCAATCAAAAGTGCAATCTTTATTGCACTCATCTATTTAAACTGCTCTCCACTAGTTTCTGAATCTGTGCTTAATAAGTGATTTAAAATATCCATGACTCCCTAACTTGAACCAAGAAATAAGAGACTTGTTGAGTGAGCTGCTTTTCTTTGAATATTCTAATCTCAATTGGACTGTTTTAAAGAAAAGTAATGGTCAGAATTTGCTAGCAGATTGTGTAGTCACAAATGGGACAACTGAAATGATTAGATTCACCCTTGAAATAATACATGTGCACACTTGTGCACACACACACACACACACACACACACGTGGTAAATGTTGGGACTTAATGTAAACTGAAGTTTTCAAAAACATATGAATAATTAGATTTGTTTTGTTTCTTCATTGACTATTACATCCCATGATCCATAACTTAAGAAAGCATATTCCTAATAAAAATTTCTTTTGCTATTTTCATAACTCAGACACAGTAGAATAGATATTAAAATAATAATATTTATAATTTCATTTTAACAAACAAGTGTAGGAAAGAGTGAAATGAGTTTTATAAAGAAAAATAAACATCTTCTGTAGAAGAGGAACTTCTCTATTAATACATATTATCTCCCAATTAAACTATTATCATACTATCTCTGTGTCATTTGTCATTTTGGTCTATCCGTTTTCATGCTTTTCATAATAAATTTCTGAGTTTAAATATTTGATATTCTGAAATAATATAGCAACTCAGAACTCATTAACTGTGGAAGTGAAGAAAATTCATGATATTGATGATAAGTCAAGCAATAAAGATAACTTCACAGAACAGATTTCAATATAACTTCTTAGCATTCCTTTGTTCAAATAAAGGTATTTTAGATGAAAAATATAAAATAAACAAAATATATTGTTAGGACAAAAAATTTGAACTATGAACTTGACTTTGAGATTTGTTTCATGCTTATTGTAATAATTTTTTATCTTATATTTCAAAGGTTTTTATATTACTATAATTCCTAATTATTTAAAGCATTACAAATGAAATATGATGACAAATAATGTTTCACTGTGCCCAAATTTAATCAACAAATGTATTGGAAAATGATGAATCATTCACAGTCAGGATGAGGGTGATTACTTTGCTCATGGTCACAATCCATCACAGATGAAGTGGTCAGTTTTCCTGGAAGGCTCAGAGTTTGTGCTCTGTCTATTTTCCAAGTTCAACACACAGGTGTGCTGGTAAGAAATCCAGTTAAAATGTATGAAGTATCTCTTTTAGGTCATATCTTATTTCTTTTCTGTATGTGATGTGAAAGATCTGTGAGTTCAGTAACTTTGAAAATTGTTTTACCAACTTTTAGACATTTATGTTTTGGGTTATAGGAAAACTTAAGGAAATTGTTGTAGCTGTTCTGGAACTGAGGCCAATGAACATGCATTTTCTCAAAGCCCCCCTTGTTTCTCTGAATGAATGTTATTGGAGGAGGCATGTGCAGAGTGTTTACGACACATCAAGCTTTTCTTTATGATAGTTTTGCAATGTAGAAGGAAATGCTTTATTTTGCTTAATTTTTGAACTAAGAATTTCTGCCTCATATTTTCTTAAACTGAATATAGTTTATGGGTTGTAGCAAGGGTTTCTTTTCTAAGGGTTTTCTTGTTTATTGTTTGCATAGAAATTTTAAAATATTATTCTCATTGCTTTTTGTTGGATTATTTAACTTCCATATTTTCTAAATGCCTCTACTACATCCAGGAAGCAAGTAGTTAAGTTCAAAGCTAAGTTTGAACGAGTTTGGTTTTGTGATGATCCAGATATAGATAAACCACCCAATTAATATTTTATAAGCAGCATTTGCAAATATCTGTTCAAGTAACTAAGTCTCAAGTAACTAAGTAATTGGTGCAGGTTTAATATTTTATTGCACATATACAAGAAAATATAATAAGACAGGGGAAGCTTAATCAAGTTGTTTTACACATCCTTCAGATGTTAATACAGGTGCACATGTCTTCTTAAAGCAAGAATTATTGTAAATCTTGTTAGAATAAAAATTCTGCAGCTGTAATGGACTTCACAATTTTTTCATACAATAGGTAATGATGAATAAAGCACCTGTTAACATTTTGACAAAATATGTATGAAATTGGAGCCCAGTTTTCCTGGCCCTCCACTAAATGCCTTCTCCACTTAAGGTGTGCCTTTCTGCTTTACGATTTTTCTTGAGTTTAAATGGTGGCCTTGATTGGTGGTAGGCTGTTCTGTAGGGAATTTTTCCTATTTATAAAATGACACATTTGTGGTCCCAAGTAAAGAATATCCTTTGCTTTCTTCCTGGGGTGTACTAGAGGCTAAGAAAATTTGGTCCTGCATGTTTCAGAGTGACTCATACTAAATACAGACTTATTGGTCAACCATCAGATGTGCCTGCAACCTGAGCAGACTTGTGGACGTAGTGTGTATCGTGGTGGAATAAACACAGTTCTGCCACTACTGAAATGGTTGTTAAGACACCATGTTGTGCTGCCATGAGATTTCTCACCTCTGAAATGATGCTATTGTTTGATTCCATGCCTTTCTTTGGATTGAAATGTATCCATTAACATTTGTGTGCTTTTCTTTTCCATCCATCCTTCTCCATCTCATGAAAAGCACACCGGGGTAAGTTGACTCACAACGGCTGCTGAACACGTTGGTTTTCAGCACCATCTTTTTTGTTGGTTTGTTTTGTTTTCTCTTTAGCACTTCTCTTTTCAGTTATAACACCAACTGCACTGCCTCTGACTTAAAATGAAATTCACAATGTCCACTCGTTTCTACACAGAAAAAGGAATCATTGGTTCAGAGAAATATTTATATTTGAATTACATTGGCTTTTTGAAAACTAGTATTGGTTGGTTCTATGAGATGCATGCAAATTTACCTTGCAGGCCTTACTGTCCTAACTCTCAAGTCTTTCTTCAAGAGTTAATGAGAGCTCCTTAAGGCTCAAGTCCTGCTTTCAAGATGAGCTTCAACTCTTTGTGCTGCTTGGCTGAAAATGTGCTTAACTAGGGCCCGCGGTTCAGTTCTTCAAATTACATTCAGGAGACAAACTCCTTTGTCAGTTTTCAGAACTCATTTCGATGGGAAGGGCTAAGTGATGAATCTCCTCAGTAAGGCATTGATAATGGTCAAGGTGACCTAGCTTTTAGCCAAATGTATGCCTTTTCCCATTGTTTCTTATATAGGTGATTATTTTTTAATGGTTCCAAATACATAGTTCTCAAGTAAGAGTTTCAAATTTAAAATCCTTCTCTCACAGGTAGGGGAAATCACACAAATCCCCAAAACTAGGCAAAGAACTATAGGCAACTAATGAATGATAAGAAAAGGAGAAATAGTCTTCTCTAAGGAAGAACCCTTCAGTTGGTTATCTAATACCAAGTGATCAGCCCTGAAATACTATGTATATGTATGTGTGTGTGATTATATATATATATATATATATATATATATATATATATATAATCAGATATATATGTTGAATAAATTGCATGCATATATTTAGGATATAAAAACATATGTAGAGGAATGGGGCATTGCTGTGTGGTGAATCAGGTTTTGTATAACAACTATTAAAGAAAAGAAAACCACATCCTTGAGAGACAGCCAAGGAGAGGTACAAGAGAGGTTATGATAGAAGAAAAAGGAAGAGGTAAACTGGTGGAATTATATTTTCATTTCAAAAAGTTTTTAAAATTATTAATAAAAATGACAAATGAACAAAAAATCCTCTTCTTAGAAATAGAATTAGGGTATGTTGTCCATTCATAAAATAGGGCTTTAAAGTAAAAGTCAGACAGAATATGTACAACATTTATGAAGCATTTACATCGGTGTAGGCTCTTATAATATAGGCCACATGATCAGTTCACTAAGGCATTTTGTTAGTTGTGATGTATTACTATTCTTAACATAATTTTTTCCCATAAATATAATGACAGACTAGAGAGAAACCTCAGTAGACTTGCTACATCGTCACGAGAAGAATCCTGACCCTAGAATGTGTGGCTGGATGTCCTGTAGATGCCTATAACACAAACTCAAATGGAGAGTGAGGGAGGAGGGTGATGGGGACTTGTGACTTCCTAGAGTTTCTAGACTCCCTACCTAAAACAAGTCCAGTTTCAGAGGGAGAACTTGCCTTAAAGCAATAGGCAGAGAGTGAGAAAGAACACCCAATACTTTTCTAGTTAATAGTATAGCAGTGTTATTTACTGCTGTTTATTTTTTCTTTACTTATTGATATGCTCTCGTTGCTAGACAAAATTATTTCACAGTATTTTACTTGTTTTAGTTTGTATATTGTATGATATTAATGAAAATGTTAGTAAAATATTCAAAGCTGCATCGCAAGCTAAGGTCCACCCTTGACAGGCATGTAGCCTGATGGTTGCTGTAAGCTCTTCTCAACATCACTCTCTCTAGCAATGTTTAATACCATCATACACATTTTTGCCTGCGGCTATCCCATTATTTCTACATTTCTGAAGGAAAATAACTAAAAGAAATGACATATTAAAAAGCAATAGCAACGAAAAAAGAATGACTCACTGCCGTTATTGTAATGGATTGGCATACTGGCTCTTAATCTCAAACTGAATTGTCTCAAATGTTTTAGGGCTTGTGTATTGCAAAACATCAAACTACTTCCTCAGTATAACCACTAAATCAAGAGCAGAAGAAGGTACAATCAAGAGGAGCAGAGAGTCAGCAAGGATGACAAAGGAGAGAAGAGGCTAAGGGTTGGGATTTGAAAATCAGAACAGAGTCCCACTTGCTTGCTGTGCACCCTTGGTGGCCTGATTGTTCCCTCTGCTTACTAACACAGCTCTCTGCACCCAGTAAGGGAATTAGTGAATACATACAAACACAGGAATGTGAAAACTGAATACTTCCAAGCTGACCAAAAGAGGCCTCAAAATCGGATGAAGCAGGGAAGCAACAGAATCTAAGTGGTAGCCATACAAGTTGGAGCATTAGCAAAGCTTTCCAGTAAATCCTCAATTACAACCAGGGAGTGAGTGGGGAGTTCAGACCATGGTGTCAAGTAAAAAATGAAATCTCTTAATGGGCAGTAATACAAATCCCTCTAGTTCTCAAAATCAGCATTGGTAATTGTACTCCTTAATCACAGTCTCTCTGTGTGTTTACTCCTTTTTACTTGTTTTGAAAATTATTAAATTCAAAATAAATTAAGAGAATAAATCATGTAAATCCCAGCTGAAACTCACAAATACATCAGATTCCTTCACTGAGACTGGTTCCTGTATTGCATAGCTTCTAAAAGAAAAAGAGAGAGTATAAATTTAATAATTTCAGAACTTAATATAATCTATTTATTTCGGAAAAACTGCCATATACATGTTATTGGAGTCTACCTAAATTCTACTTAAATGTCGTAGATTTCACTGAGTATGAAAATGCCCAATAATTTCTTTCACACTCATAATATCCTGTGCTTTAAAAGTCAATCAAAATTGTTAATGTTGTTTTGGAGCTTAAATTCATGACACTAGCTATATATTTAAGTAATCAGTGTTCTGAAGCATTTGATTGGGATTTTTGATCTCTTCCTGTTCAGAATAATTATGTTAATGAAGATATATATATATATATATATATATATATATATATATATATATATTATCAGCTTGCAGATATTTCACAAATTAGGTAGCACCATGCATCATTCAAATTTCCATACAAGAATTCCAACTTGCTCCTCCTCTTAGTATGATATTTACAGAATTTATCAACAAATACAAATTGCTTAATAATAGAGTTCTAAATCCCACCCTCACTTTCTAGAAAGTCCAGGCTGGCATAGAATAGATAATCCTACTTCTGCCTCCCACATGTGTAAGTTAGAGTTCTGAGCTGCCATGTTTATACACAGTATGTTCATTCTTCAGTTGAACTCTGAGGAGATTACATCATACTCTGTAGGCTGCTGGGTTTTAACAGATGAAGGCATTTAGAAAGAACAATGCCAGGAAATTGATGGACACTCCCTACTAACCTGTTCTAATGAAGACACTGTCTCTGATACAACGTTAAGAGCTAATGATTACATTGTCAAATTGTGTGAACATTTTCTACAGCCAGCTGTTTATTTCTTCTTGTTTTAACTAAGTACTTACAATGGGCTAAATGAACTCTCAAGACAAGGTTTTTGACTCTAAGATTACAGTGACACAGGTACACAGTCACTGCAACTGTAGCAGCAAGTTTATCAATTCCATTTCTGTCTATAACCTCTGTCCATCATCCATGACCAAGATACAGAACCTGGTCAGAATTATAAAAGTAAAGCATGCTTCCTTCAGTACTGTATAAAGATAAGAACCACTATGTATGAGAGTAAGGATGGAAAGGCCACTTAGCGACATAAAATACATGAGCCACATGAAAAGAAAACTTGGATAATATCTTTTCAGTGTGATTGACAATGAGGAAAACACAGTTAACATTCTTCTTTAGTTACTAAAAGTTTCAAGTTGTGTGACCAAGTTGTCGAGGTTTTTAGTTTTTCTCCTCAATTACTCTAATTACAAACAGCCTCTGTTCATTAGTGTTCATATCTCTGTGTGTGTCAATACACATCCAAGTGATTAAATATATATATATATATATATATATATATATACTCGTTTGCACTTAGGCTAGAAAAAGCTTCAGACAGTAAATGATGATTGATATCTCTTATTTTATGAGACATGGTGCTTCATTTATCTACAACAAAATCTTTTGTCCTTTCAAACTACTATTGCATGTCATGCAAGAATATAAAGTTGCAGGCTCATAGTAAGTTAAGATGCTAGACAAACCTCTATCACAAATAATATATTTTTACGTACACAAATCAATTGACATCTTAAACAAAGTAAAATAGCTAGTTTATTAACATTGTGTTAATATATAAAATAATGAGTTCATCTGGAGGGGTCCTTGTCATCCTAATGGGAAGAATAAACAATGTGTTGTTGCTGATGGAGTTTGAGTTATGAATGACAGTGGTATAAAGAAGTAAGTTCCTTAGCAAGGTAAAAATACTGTTCATGGGCAGGTGAATTATACTGAGGTGTTTGAACAGTATTTGAGCATTCATTGAGGAGAATAACAAGGAAAGAAAATAGGAGCCTGACAAATAGTAGTCTTTTAAAAATATACTAATATGTATGTATATATTTAAAGTTATAATATAATCACATAATTTGCCCCTCCTTCCCCTTCAACTGTTCCAATGTATCCCATTCCCTTTGTTCTCATTCAGATCTATGGTATCTTTTTTTTTTTTTTTTTTCGAGACAGGGTTTCTCTGTGGTTTTGGAGCCTGTCCTGGAACTAGCTCTTGTAGACCAGGCTGGCCTGGCCTCGAACTCACAGCGATCCGCCTGCCTCTGCCTCCCGAGTGCTGGGATTAAAGGCGTGCACCACCACTGCCCGGCTTATGGTATCTTTTTTTTTTTTATAATTGTTATTGGTGTGTGTGTGTGTCCTAAATATATAATTATAAAAAGCTCCATAAGATGTTGATCCCTTGAGAAACTAATTATCCTTTGTTATTATGAGAGCATTGGAGATGTTTGGCTTAACTTACAAAAATCTATGATCAA